ACTACTACTACTACTACTACTACTACTACTACTACTACTACTACTACCTAGATCTCCGAATAAGTTGAAATTATTGTTCGAGATGGAAAAAAGAACTTATTCCACGATCTGACACTTTTTTTTGTCCCGCACGATTTTATCCGTTCAGACATCAGCTTGGTGTTCTGGAGCCTGGATTCCAGATTTTTGGGCATTTCCCGAAAGTTCTCGAAATCTATTGAGAACACATTTGGATAAGAGCTGACACTGTTTGGAGACTTCACGCCGGCATCGCGATGATGTTAGTTTCACTGGGTTCAAACATACATGGTGTCATTGTGCATCCATCGATGCAAAGCCAGGCCATGCATGGAATCTATCTTTATTAAGAGACATGAAATTTTTTCGCATGAAATACTGTAGCTCAACATGTTTATGCATCAAAACACACTGGAATGATGGCAATGTCAAAGCAGCATGGGATCCCAACCGTGTACGCATTACGATTCTTGACCCTTCTAAAGCTGATCCACTTGATTCCCTTTACCAGACTCCAGGCTCCACTCCGCAGGAACGCCATCATGACACGCAGGAACGCCTTCTTTAGCTCCCTGTGCCACCTTTAAATTAAAGAACGGCAGGACTGACTGAGTCTAACAAAAGGATCTACAGCCCTTATAGGGGACTATTAGGAGAACACGCACCGCTACAGGACCCATATGTAATTTGTAATTCAATGCGCCTGAGTGGTGCAATGTGGAGATTCCTGACTTTCTGCTGAGCAGAACTGCCCTTCTGGCATGGTTGACTGATTTGTGCTGCATGTTTCAGTGTGTCTAAAATTTAGAAGGCAGTTTGTGAACTTCATGTTCATGAGAATGCAAGCGGATGCAGCAGTTTTTTGAATATAGTTTTGACATGGGCATACGAGCTTCCCACCATTTCCCACCTCTCAGCCTCAGCTGCCCGAAGCTCACAAATCTGCCAGCCTGCAACGCAGCTGCTTTGTTTTGATCAGAAAGGATCTCGTTGTCGGATCTGAAAGCGGGTACCATGAGCCGCAACCCGTCCCCATCTCCAACCGAGAGAGCTGTGCATTACAGCTTGGAAGGACTACACCTAGACTGGGACAACGATTCGGTGGTTCGCCGACGAGTGCGTTGGGGAAATCATGTCATCAGGCATTTCGACCCCCAGACCTCCACGGAGACCAACCAGTATGTGGAGAAGACCCTGGTCAACGTGAGGTTGAACAAGCAGGTTTTGAAACCACTCTGCGTTCGCATGCGGAGCCACGAACTTGCACTTCCGATTATCGATGCAGTGATTGAGGAGTTTCGCAACCTGTACTGCTTTTCGAAGGTCACGGTGTCCTACGACACTTTGTACCAAGAAGCATGGGCATGCAGAAGGTTGCTGGCCTTGGCCAAAAACACCTTATTGCACAGGAAGTACATCTCTGAGGACAGGGTTCTATATGTGAAAGGGTATTTTTTCCACAAAATGGGTCATATTGTATTATTTCATTGACATGCATAATGTGGGTGACAACCTTGCTGACCAGTCAGCTTTGCTTCAAACACGCCAGGAGGACACCGACATGCTTGAACTGGCAGACCATTTTGGCATTAACGTCACCATGAGGGGAACCAGCTCTACTTCTTTGGGACAGTCATATCCTGTCATGGATGACCCCAACTACGAAGCAAGGCCTGTGGCAACACCAATGACTTCTTTGGCTGCGCCACCTGTGGATGTTCCAACACATGCTTCTGCAACTTCTGGAGCGGTGCCGGCGGCTGAAACGAACGCAGCAGAGCCGCCAGAAGCGCCAAGTATGGAGCACCCGGAAGCTGTGCTGGCCGCCCCAAATGCTCCTGCACTCGCGCCTGCTGGTCAAATGACCTTGCACCAACTCGCTGCTTGTCGATTCAAACCATACATGAATCAGCCAGTTTTCAGGGAACGAGTCCAGCGCCCCTTGCGTCAAGCCACTCTCGCGGAAGTTGTCATGCAAACATCCGTTTGCGAGGCTGGCAACGAGATGGTGGAAGAGATCCCAACAGAAGCAGCCAGCGGTGCAAACGGCCCGGACCGCACTCCCATGACAGCGACAGGACCTCTGACTGAGGCCTGGTTTGCGCATTGAGTGCTTTGTACAAGTCCTGCACATGCATGCATGCACACATGCGCATGACTTGTATAGCAACACAGGCCAGACCTGCCTCAGCCCAGCAGTCTGAGCATGACATCCTTTCCGAGGGGCACCAAATTCGCATAAATATAATCATCGATGGTTTGACAGTCGACATGTATTTATATAACCTTTGTGTGTGTGCGTACACGGGCGTACAGGTGATTGAGATTGAGGATAATGACACTCCTATGGATGAAGATGCTCTGAGATCACAGCTGGCAATGGTCTTGGAACAACTCGAGGAGTGTCTTGCCATGAACAAATAAATACAGTAGTATAAGCTGGATAGGTGTATACCATGCTGTACCCATGTATGTTCCATTCATGCAACACAAAAGAAGAAGAATAGCTTTTTTCCTCGATCAAATTGTCTGTGATTCCCCACTCTCCGACCCTTCAACTGCACTAGCACGCTCAGGTTTGGCCTGGGCGATGACACATTGCCATACGAGCCGGTCGAAGATCCGCCAGCTGCAGCTCCTGCGGATGCGCCAGAGCATGCAGAGCAGGCTCTCAAGGAGACACCACTGGCCGAAAGCCGCTGCCGCACTCCTATGGGTGGCCTCACTACATTTAAAGCCCAAAAGACTTTCTAAACCTCACGGGAGTCTCATTAATTTCCACGGTTGGTCGATGGTGTTGGTTTGATCGTCCTTTGGTTAGCAGTTCAGGTCGTCCTGCAGAGTGGGTTGTGGAATCTTTGCCACAGGGCACTGACAATGCGGACACGCAGATCCCAATCTCCCCGACCAACTATGAGGCCACCAGCTCTATGGTCAGCATGTTGGAGGAGGAAGACAAGAGAGTTGCTGCTGCTAAGGAGCATGTTTGTGCATGCCAGTATGTTTGGCAGAATATGCGTTTACACGGTATCTCAAATTACATTACAATTCGTGCATGTTAGATCGAAAAAATGTGACCAATGTGTTCCAAGCTAAGCCCCCTGAAGGATGGCACCGCCGAAGCAGTACCAGAGGTGCCATGTCACCCACCTGTCACACGTCGTCAACAATTTGGGTTGAAAGATGAAAAGGCTGAGGAAAGGGCTGAGAAGAAAAAGAAGAGAAAGACAGGGGGGGGGCGCAGGTGGCAAGAAAAAAAAGGGAAAGGGCAAGGGCAAGGGAAAGGGAAAGGGGAAGAAGTCTTCCAAGGGAGGAAAGCTCAAGGGCAAGACAGCCCAGCAGAAGAAGAAAGCGAAGAAGAACTCCAACTCAAAGAAACGCAGCTCAAGGGCAAAGGGTTTGGCCAAGTTGAGGGATCTCGAGGCAGCTCGCAGCTTCAAGCAGGCAAAGACTGTTTCAGAGTCCTCTTGCCCTCACGCTGATCCCTCTCTCGCCTTGGCAGATTGCACTGAACATGGCAATGAAGAGAAACTGCCTGCACCAAGGGAGCTCCCTTCGTCGTCGGAGGGGCCAATCCACCACTCAAAGGGAACCTCTTGCAGGGGGGCCTCGAAAAAGAACTCCAACAAGGGCTCAAAGAACAAGAAGAAGCGTCATGTTGGTGAGGACAAGTCCAAATCGACGAAGGAGAATGAGTCGGGAAAAAAGGTGAGCGTCCCGCCCAAAACGTTTGATCGCTATGTGGCATGCATTGAGGATGTGGTGGCCAATTGCACTGCAACGGACTGTCTCCACACGGACTTTGACCTGACAGTGCCTGATGTCCCCGACAGTCCGTTCCAAATTTGCGTATATTGGAGCCGAAACGCTGTTGGTGTGAAGGTGTCCAAGGATCGGGTGGCTGGCAAGACCAAAGCCAAGGGAAAAAATGAGCAAAAGGAGAACAAGGCATACAAATCTAAGAATGTCAGTCAGATTGCCTACTTTTCCAAAGGGGGCTGTGTGTATGTCAACCACGCCATGGCACAGGCCTTCGCCCTTTAGATGCACGTAGTTGCGCATTGCTTTGAGTTTGGTTCCGGTTTGTTGTCCCGGTATCCCTGTCCCTGGACCTGCCCACACCATGGCCCGTCACCCTGACACCTGGCCTTGTCCAAGGTCAAATCGATGGGAAAGGTGACAGAGAAGATCCTGGGCAAAGACTGCATCAAGCAGCACAGTGATGGGCTAAAGCAGGCTCAGCGTTTGGTCTTCCAACGCGAAGGCTATCCCATTTAAGCGCTGAGGGTCATGTCATGTCTGTTACAAAAACATTACGATAATATATAGGTTTTGACAATCGGATTGTATAGGCCTCATGCTTTTGGA